GGATTGGGGCAGTCCTTAACACCACAACGGACCAGCCTGGAAATAGTAAATTGACTCAGCCCATGTCTTTTTAGACGCAGCTTAACAATTCTGAGTTTACAAAACTCAGCCAAACGGCATCAGGCTTCAGCGTAAACTTTTGCTAACTAGCCCACATAGTTCCCATATGCTATGCGATGTTGTTTGAGCCAACTCAGTACCTTATAATTATAAACACACGTCTTTCAGCTCTTCTGTGTATTCTTCCCAGGCAGAACGGAAATATGTCACTTAAATTAGCACTTGGAATACAGAGTGGATGCCAAATTTGGGTTAGCACAAACAGGGTAAATAAAGCAGCACCAAATTAAAATGGTAAAATAAACTTCTTTATGCTCCAGTGGAAACTGCTAAGTCCTAGCTGAATGGCAGCTAATGGGTCTGGGAAAAGGATATCCCTCAAACTGTAGCTCTTGGCTTTTGAATACAGTTTTCTCATCCAAGGATCTCGAGGCAATTTCTTGCAAAACTCGAGTAGTGTGAAAAAAAAAAAAAAAAAAGAGGAGATGCTATTTCTTTTACAAACTCTTCTGCCATCATTTTTCCTCAGCATTCTCTTCCAATAATACTGGGAAAGTTTATATTTTTATCCTTATTTAATTCACGGGGAAAGGAGAGGTTTTAGAGAAATAAATGAAGGCACATAGGTGTGAGATCACTTGGCAAAAGCCAGGGAGCAAAATATACCGCAGAAATCCAATCACAATAAGTCTTGCAGAGAGAAGCCTTTGTGCCTATTCTGTCTAATCAGAACCACCACCTATTGAGTGCCCACTGTGTGCCAGGAACTGATATGGAAGCCTTTTATAAATGATCTCACTTTCTTCCCACCACAATCCTGTGAGTTGGAAATTATCACCTCCATTTTACTCACACATTCAGAAGGTATTCTGGGAACAAAGAGAGGAGGGGGCTGGAAATGGGGGCAGAAAATAAAGGACTGCCAGGTGCACTGGCTCACGCCTATAATCCCAGCACTTTGGGAGGCCGAGGCGGGCAGATCACTTGAGGACAGGAGTTCAAGACCAGCCTGGCCAGCATGGCAAAACCCTATCTCTACTAAAAATACAATAATTAGCCACACATGGTGGGGGGCACCTATAATCCCAGCCACTTGGGAGACTGAGGCAGGAGAATTGGTTGAACCTGGGAGGCTGAGGTTGCAGTGAGCCAAGATTGCACAACTGCACTCCAGCCTGAGCAGTAGAATGAGACTCTGTCTAAAAAAAAACAAACAAACAAATAAACAAACAACACCAAAAAAAAAACAAGGGCTGGGTTCAAGAAATTCTCCTACCTCTGCTTCTCGAGTAGCTGGGGTTATAGGCACGTGCCACCATCCCTGGCTAATTTTTTGTATTTTTAATAGAGACAGGGTTTTACCATGTTGGCTAGGCTGGTCTAAAACTCCTGACCTCCGGCAATCCACAAGCCTTGGCCTCCCAAAGTGCTGGGATTACAGGCATGAATGCGCCACCATGCACAACCCCCAATATGATGAATCTTAAAAACATTTAACCGAGTGAAAGAAGACTTGCAGGAAAGAATACAGTTCTGTCTGGTTCCATGTTTACAAAATTCTAGGATGGGCAAAAGTAGTCTGTAGTAGTAATAAAATACCAAAACAGTGGTTATCTCTTGAAGGGTGAGTGGGAGTAGGAATTGGTTAAGAAGGGACATTAAGGAAATTTCTGGGGTGACTGAAACATTCTGTATCTTGATGGGGTGGTTACTCAGGAGTACTCATTCATTAAAACTCATATAGTTAAGATTTCTGCAGCTCATTATATGAAAATTTTACCTTAAATAAAAACAGACTATAAACAAATCTTGAATTCTATTTAATGATCTGCATGCTGAAATAAGGGAGTGTACCAATGACTGATGCCTAAAACTTGCTTTGAGAGCATTAAAAAAATACTGATTGATGAATGGCTAGAGAGATAAACAGGTATGTATAACGTAAGTTTAGGAAAATGTTAACAAAATCTGGGTGGTAGGTATAGAGGTATCACTGTAAAATTTATTCAGTACTGTGTATTTCAGTATCTTTGTAATAAAGTGTTGAGAAATAGCAGAAGAACAGAAAGAGAAGACAGAATGTCAAGGAAAAGAAAGAATGGGAAAACAGGAGAAGAGGGAAGGAAGATCGTGGACAGAACTTGAAGACAGGAAGGAAGGACGCCAGAGAATAAGAACAGAAATGATGGAGGAAAATATAAAGAAAGGAAAGACTAAATAAAAAGACAAGTGGACAATATGTGTCACAAGAAAGCAGCAAATTCCAGGGAGGTGAAATGAAAGACAAGAAAGGGAAAAGGCAGGCTGAGCGTGGTGGCTCCCACCTGTAACCCCGGCACTTTGGGAGGCCAAGGCAGGTGGATCACCTGAGGTCAGGAGTTTGAGACCAGCCTGGCCAACATGACAAAATCCCATCTCTACTAAAAAGACAAAAAAATTAGCTGGGTGTGGTAGAAGGCATCTGTAATCCCAGCTACTGGGGAAGCTGAGGCAGGAGAATTGCTTGAACCTTGGAAGTGGAGGTTGTAGTGAGCCGCCATTGCACTCCAGCCTGGGCAACAGAATGAGACTGTCTTTAAAAAAAAACAAAAAAGAGGCAAGGAAAAAGGCAGCTTATAGGCCAAGGACAGATGCAGACCAGGAATGGAGAAAGTCTTTTCCAAGCCCCAGCTCAGTGGAGCTGAACCAGCAACTGCACAACGTGTCCCACGGTTCTCATGACGCCTCCATTTGGTGGTGCGCTTGGTCAGAATCTAGATTAAGAGTATGCAGAGGATTCAAGCGCCTTTTGTATTAAAGCCACAGACCCATCAAGCCCAAAGGTAACAGAATTTCTTTAAATCAAAAATTTCATATTTAAGGCTAGGCACGGTGGCTCACACGTGTAATCCCAGCACTTTGGGAGGCTAAGGTGGGCAAATCTCTTAAGCTCAGGAATTTGAGACCAGCCTGGGCAACATGATGAGACCTCATCTCTACAAAAAATGCAAAAATTAGCTGGGCATGGTGGCACATGTCTATGGTCCCAGCTACTCAGGAGGCTGAGGTGGGAGGATGGCTTGAGCCCACAGGGCAAAGGTTGCAGTGAGCCATCGCCCCACTGCACTTCAGCCTGGGCAACAAGAGTAAGACCTTGTCTCCAAAAAAAAGTCATATTTAGAAATTAAAAGAATATCACAGGCAAAAGGGGAACTGTGCTGGTCAATGTGTGGGGACGGGGGATGGGGATCAGCTTTGTGTGCTGAGGTGATCCACCACCTTTCTCTGCCCCCACCTCCCTCAATGATATAATAATTCCAAAGTCCCCACAGACACCAAAGGCTCTAAATACACTGGGGGAGTGGAAAATCCACTGCTCTGAAGAAAGAGAAAATGAGGTCATTATTCTTCCATTAACTGGAGGCTTCAAGCAAGTCAATGAACTACCCAGAACCTTAGTTTTCTTTGCTCTGTCTGCACTGTCAACCACCCTCGGATAAGAGGTGCAAGTGAGGCATTGCTGCACAAATTTTTAAGCACTTTGCAAATGCCCAACTATTAGGACTCCCCTTCCCTGTAAATTTGCTGTATCTGTTAGCAGACTTCCAGTTCAAAATGACCTTCAGCTAACAGACCCTGTGCAGTCTCCCCTGGCTCTTACTACAAGACCTAGAGAGGCAATATAAAGGAAAGATGTTCATAGCAACCCTGAAAATTACTTCTAAAATGTATCTCCATTTCATCCACTTCTTTCCATCTGTGCTGCCACCCTCCTGGTCTGAGCCATGCTAATTTCCCTTTTGTGTCTTTTTAACAGCCACCTTAACTGCTCTCCCAGTTGCATTTCTGCTTCTTCCTGTCTCAAGCTACTTTCCAGTCCATTCTTCACGCAGCAACCATGGGGAAATGGCAACCACTGTGTGGACTGCAAGCTTGAGATGCTCTCCCAGAACACAGAGGGGAAAGACAAAGGAATGTAATAGAAGAGGCATAAAAGAATGTAATACGGGAACATTTTTCTGAGCTGAAGAAATGTATGCAAATTTTAAATGTCCATTATGTATTTTTTAGAGGGGCAAAAAAGCTCTTTATGTTCCGGGAATAATCGATGAAAATCTAGGTAGCCCCAAACTTTCCTATCTCAACATCAAATGCTAGAATATGCTGAACAATGTCTAAATAGTTAGAAAAGGGTATGACCTAAGAGATTTATAGCTAATATTTCATAAATGAAGACCTCAAGGGGAGACTCTTAGGCATTCAAAGTGTTAGAAAACATAGCACCTATATACCCTTCTTGACAAGATTATTAAAGATGCAATCCAACACCAGAAAAATACAGCAAAATTAAAAGCTTAAAATGCAGTTATCATAATATGAAGGGGACTGGTGAGGAACACTAAAACAAATCAAAATAGAGGTAAGCCTAATAATCAATGACTGTAAAACTTAAAAATTAAAAATAATGATCAAAATGGAAGATATATAAAAATTGATATATTAACCTGGATATAGTAGCCAAATTTGTTATTTAAAAAGACTAAGAAATGGCAACAGAAGAAAGAAACAAAAGGGATGAGGTAAGGCAAAATTTTACAAAACTATTTGTGTCAAACACAAATAGGACTTCCACTTATGACTGACACTAATAGAAATATAGGCTAAAAAATACTTTTTGGAAAAAAATTTAAGAGTTCTATTAAGAAGATATATATTCTATTCTACCGTAAAGACACATGGACATGCATGTTCATTGCAGAACGATTCATAATAGTAAAGATATTGAATCAACTTAGATGCCCCAAAATGGTGAACTGGATAAGGAACATGTGGTACATACACACCACTGAATACTATGCAGCCATAAAAAAAGAACTAAATCACATCATTTGCAACAATGTGGATACACCTGGAGGCCATTATTCTAAGTGAATTAAAACAGGAACAGAAAACCAAATACTGCATGTTCGCACTTACAGTGGGAGCTAAACATTGAGTATATATGGACACAAAGAAGGGAACAGCAGACATCAGGGCCTACTTGAGTGGGGAGGATGGGGGAAAAAACTACCTGTGAGTACTACGCTCACTACCTGGGTGACAAAATAATTTATTCACCAAACCCCAGCAATATGCAATTTACCCATGTAACAAACATGCACATGTACCCTTTGAACCTAAAAGTTAGAAGGAAAAAAATTTAAATAAATAAATAAATAACTGGAATACAATTTCAATTCCTTGTAATGCAAGCTTATCTCCTTAAAAAGAAGATACATACACTCTAAAATACTTTAAAAGGTTTAAACCAAACATCTTTATACAAAAACACAGCAGATAAAAGAAATGAAAAACAATAAAAATGGAAGAAGATGACAGATTCATGACCAAAAATATAACTCTCCTATTAAAAGGGGATTGAATAAAACATTCATTTTAGATCGAAAATACGTATGCTATTTAAAAGAACGCTCAGATATTCCATAACTCCATGAATCTATGAAAAATCACTGAAGTGCACACTGAAATGGATGGATTTTATGGTATGTAAACTACACCCCAATAAACTTTTTTTAAAAACACTCAAATCAAAAATTAAAATTATAAGTAAAAAGATGTACAAGGGATGAGAAAAACAAACCAAAATTAAGCAGAGGTCACAAAACTAATAGTAGACAATGTAAAGTTAAAAGTAAAAAATGCATTAACTGGTAAAAGAGCTAATTTTATATAAAAAGAGCCAACATTTATATTAATAATACACACTAATCATAAATATAAACATATTACATCAAAATATATAAATTTTAAAGTATTAGAATTCCAAAGAAAAATTGGCAGAAAAATAATTATAGCTAGAGACTTTAACATATTCCTTCCTCTTGCTCTTTGGCAAATAAAATAGACTAAAAAATAAACAAGGTGGGGCCAGGTGCAGTGGCTCATGCCTGTAATCCCAACAGTTTGGGAAGCCAAAGCCTGAGGCCAGCAGATCCCTTGATCTGAGGAGTTCAAGACCAGCCTGTGCAAGATGGCAAAACCCCATCTCTACCAAAAAGTAAAAACACTGGCCGGGCATGGTGGCATGACTGTCATCCCAGCTACTGGAAAGGCTGCAGTGGAGGATGGCTTGAACCTGGGAGGTGAAGGTTATAGTGAGTTGAGATTGTGCCACTGCACCCTAAGCCTGGGCAACAGAGTCAGACACTGTCTCAAAAAATAAACCAAAAAAATTAAAAACCAAAGATTGAAGATGTAAAACACATGAATGAAATTTTTTCCCAGCATCCCAAAAGGCAAAAATTGTTCAAACCACTTTTTCTAACCAAAATGAATAATTTAAGGTAGTCTCTTAAATTTTAAGAAATTAAATTTAAAAATCAATCACTTAAAAATCAGAACTGCAATTTGAGTACTTACAAAAAAATGACAATCAGAAAAAAAAAATGAAAACTGATGAAAAATCATGGCCAAAACTGCACACAGAGGAAAAGGCAAAGCCCAAAATGAATTTTTTTTTTAAAAAAAAAAAAAAAAAGAAAAACTAAAAAAAAAACAAAAAACCTAAGAATCTGATCAAAGAAACTTAAAAGTGAAACAAACCCACAGAAAGCAGAATAATGAAATTAACAAAAATGAAAGTAGACCATAATTAAGCAGAACTCACAATAAAATTAAATAATTTAAATATAAACTAGAAAAACTTCTGCCAAGGAAAAGAGGAAGGAGGGTGAGCAATTGAGAGAATAAAAGAACACAAAGGCAATTACCTCATTAGAAATGAGAAATATTCAGAATTTATACCTAAAGGGGAGATTTTTTAACTTGTGAATACTATGTATAATCATGGGCTAAGTATGAAAATGTTGACTAAATCCACTATTTTTAGGAAAACACTAAATTTCAGAATAAAACTTTTTCAAGATGTTGCAATAATTTTCATAAAACTAAAAGAGTTTTACTTGGCAGCCTATGAGCAAAGATTTTGTGTTGCAAGCAAACAGAAAAAAACAAAAAGCACAGGAGGTGGTGGAGATGGGTCCCCATGAAATCCTGGAGAATGCACAGCTGAAGCAGAACTTACAGGTGGTAGTGTGTGACTCACTCCTTCCCGCCCACTCTGTGCTAAAATCCACTCTATTTCATGCTATGTTTTCATTCCACTGAGGTTGGTAAGTCCCAAAGACACATTCTCTCACATTATCACCATTGTTCATGCAATATTTAAGAAAAAAAAACAGGCCAGGCACTGTGGCTCACACTTGTAATCTGGCACTTTGAGAAGCCAAGACAGGCAGATGGTTTGAGCTCAGGAATTTGAGACAAGCCTGAGCAACATAGTGAGACCCCATCTCTATAAAAAAAAAAAAATACAAAATAAGCCAAGCATGATGGCATGTATCTGTAGTCCCAGCTACTCAAAAGGCTGAAGTGGGAGGATCGCTTGAGCCCAGGAAGTTGAGGCTGCAGTGAACCAATATGGTACCACTGCATGCTGGCTCTGGGCAACAGAGCCAGATTCTATCTCAAATATATATATCAAACAGACCCATTCTAACCATCTCCATCTGACATGGGGTATAACAGAAAGAATACTCAAATTGGGGGCTGGAAGCTAGAGTTCTAGAACTGTTCTACCATTAACGGTAGTTTCAATGCTATCTTGAGAAGGCAGTTTCTCTCTCTGGCCCTTAATGGATATATAAGGCGCAATTAGACTATGCTGCAATCCCATACAACCAGTTTTCAAACAACTCTGAGAAAAAGAACAGCAATGTTGGTTCCAATAGCAGTTTCCTCTGCCTAAAACCGGGTAAAAAAAAACTAATTTTAGAATAATAAAAAGAGCTAACATTCATATTAATATATAATAATCATAAATATTAATCAAAATATATACATTTCTAAAGTACTAGAATTCCAAGGATAAGTTGGCAGAAAAATAATTATATTTAGAGATTTTTTTATTTATCCCTCTTGCTCTTTGGCAAACAAAAGTACTAAAAAATAAAGTTTTTATTTAGTGGACTAAAAAATAAAGTTTTTATTTAAAAAAAAATAGAGAAGATGTGAATAACATTAATGAAATTGGTTTTTTGACCTTTGTAGGCCTTCTTCCCCATCCCTCCTAGCTGCCATCACCAACCCTTGGTCATGGCACACCTACTCTACAAAATAAGAACAAGACATAATTCTTCTCGCAAGCTCACAATGCCATGAAGGAGAGATGACTTACAATGTCAGGCAGTGGGAGGGAAAACAAGAGAAGTGACCAGATGGGTGGTTCAGGCAATAGGTTGGAAGGAAACAGACAAGGATATCAGTGTCAAAAGAAGAGAGAAACTGACGGCACAGAAGAAGCAAACTCAATCTTCCTCGCACTATTTCAAGCCAAACAAGGAGAAGGAATGTCCAACTCTGAGACACCAGCCATAGAAAGAAAGATGAAGAAAGTGCATTTTAGGCGGTTTTGTTAGGGCAAAGCTGCTATAATTTGAACAATCTCCACATGGCGATTCAGAGGGACTCTTCCATGTAAACTCCGGTGGTCACGTTCTACTTTCTTCCCATGTATTTGTAGTACTTTCTGGGTTGTGTTTCAGAGTGTCATTTAATGTCATTTTATGACTCCCTGGTTGTAAGTGTCTGAGTATTAGCAGGGCTTAGAGATTTACAGCCTATTTTAAACTCAGATAATGATGTTTAATTTGTTATTGGCTGTGTAAAGGTTAACAAAGAAATAACTCAAATTATCATCTCAGGGATAACACATTACAAGAGGGCAATTAAGCACACTACCTGGCATTACACAAAAGATTGATATCTCGTTACAAGAGCACAGATGAGTTCAGATTTCACAATACAGGAAATACACTCGTCACCACCGTCTCTTTGAATAAACAAATGTCAGGTCCTACTTACCAGCGCCACTGAGTAACTAGTAGGGAAAGAAAAAGCTTTTCCAGAAAAGGAAAAGATTGACACGTGGCCAATTTCTTGTAGAGGAACTGGAGAAGAAAGAGAGAAACTCAGGATCCTAGACAAAATTAGGTTGGTGTTACTGAAGTGAAAGACTGGGTTCCCTCTTAGTTATAAACAAACTTAGAGCAAAACAGACATGTACCCAATAGGCCCTTGAGAAAACAAAACAAACGAAAGCATAGGAGCCAAATTGTTATTAAATTGTCTCTGAAATGGAAAATGAAAAACAATCTATTGCCACCGTCACTTTTGTCTATTTTCGTCTCCTCACGACACATATTCATGATGATTTGATTCACATTCTGTGGATTTGGGGGCCAATGCAAATATAAATAAATAATAGTTTGAAAAACTCATCAGATAAAGATGTATTTGAGTTTTCCAGCTGCCTCTTTCCGGAGTCATTTGTTAATGTAGCATGTCTCATGTAAATTCTCATCTGATGAATGCCACGTTTACCTCCCTCAAAGAGAGCTTGCAGGTTTTTGTGGTTTTTTTTTCCTGTACTCATTTTCCATCCCCGTTCTTTTCTTCCCTCTGCAGTCTTGGTCTTTCTACATCTGGGTTTTTAATTTCCTCCTGCATTTCCCTACATATCTTCTGTTTTTTTTCATGTTCTTACTCTGGATCTTAGCATTCTTCCCCCCACCCTTTTTTTTTTTTTTGGCTTTGCCTCCCATCTTCCCAAACCTTCCCCCAGTATCCACACACGCTCTCTCCTGTGAAAGTCCTTCCCCTCCATTCTCTCTTTCTATGGTCATGTTCAGTCTGTCCACTCAGCCCTTCTGTTTAGTTTTTCTGTCATTACATTTCAGCAGTTCTCTATTTCCTCATCGTTTCCTTTGCTGCCCACCTTCCACTAATTTCTCCAGTACAGCTGTGTAGCTCAAAATCCTTCTCCACTTGGACCAAGACATCGAAAGTCTCTGAAATGGATCTTGCCCTGGTCTATGGGACCTCAGAATTCAGTGCAGTAGCACCAGCAACTCAAGGGGCCTGACTATCCTGGCAGAAAACTCCTGAGCAACCAGAAACTCATAACAGCAGTTGTAGAAATCACAACTTTATTGGAGTCCTAGAACTTCCTAAGTTACAGTTAAGTAAGAGTCTTGCATTTGAGTCCTTGCTCCCAAATCCTCCTTCCACAGGGGAAATGGGACAGGCCCAGCCTCTTGTTTGGCTTTCTGTTGTCAAGGGGGAATGTGTCAATTTGTCACTGGGCACCACAGTTTGGCTTGCTCAATTACAAAGCAATGCAGTAGTGACACCATCATCATCAATATCGCCAAGTGACCTTTATGAGGCTCAAACATATCATGGGTCCAGTGGTGAATCTTGGGGAAGATGGAGAAGACATGGTCCCTGCTGTCTCTGCACTTACAGCCTGGAAACCACCAGTAGCAGTCACGATCACCAGTACTGAGGCCATGTTGCGTGAGAAAAAATAAGATAAATTCAACAACTAGCCCCTGTTGACACATAAACAAACCCACTATTCATTTGTTCCTTTAATCAACTGGCTGTATCTTGGATCTGTAACCCCTAATAAATGGAATTGTGAGTACTTCATAAGGATGTGTACCTCCTTGCAAGTCCTGAATGTCACACGAGGGAGCCAAGCCCAGACAACACTGTCATATGGAAGCACCTGGGATCAGGGATAACGCATTAGTTAAGCAAACTAACCTTGAACCTTTGGAACTGAAATATCAACAAAAGGATAAAATAAATGTGCAAATTGTTCTTCCCTGTGGACATCAGCCAGGCGTTTGTTCTTTAGCCAACAACAATCAACAGGCACGACATAACCGTAAAAATGCCAGCTGAGGAGCTAATCCAATAAATAAAGGAAAATCCTTGTATTACGGATAGACTGCCAATGGTCATGCTGCAGGAAGCAAGCAAGGGATTGAAATTAGACAGCGGAGGTTGGCACAAAAGTCAAGCCTACCTCAACACAGGGCCATACTGCTAACAGAAGCTGGAGATACAATGCAGTCTTTAGCACATGACTCCTAGCATGGGAAGCAACCTTATGGCCTTTGGGGTACCTAAAAAGATGATGTGCTAACACGTAACCTAATGAGCACCAAGTACATGCTAAGTGCCAGGCACTGTGCTTGCCAATGACGTCCATCCAGCACTGGAAGGGGTAGAGAAGGTACATATAGTCTGTGTCTGACAAGACTAGCTCCTACCTTTGAAAAAAACTTGAGAGGTGAAGGAGGAGGAGGAATGAGACAGAAAAAGAAAAAGAGGCAATGAAAAGAGATCTAACTAAATGGATTCCTGGAAAACATATACGAAGACATCAACATCTAGCTGAACAGATATCTACACATTTGCCAAATATTATTTGCAGTTAGTCTTAGCAGGTGTGCTTTCTTTTCTCTTACAATATCTATAATTCCAAATAATCTCTCCATTAAACATGGCATACATATAAAGGAAAATAAGTTTATTTGCATTTTTTTTTGAGCTGGCGTTTCAACTCTTGTCCCCCAGGCTAGATTGCGATGGCGCGACCGTGGCTCACTGCAACCTCTACCTCTGGGTTCAAGCAATTCTCCTGCCTCAACCTCCTGAGTAGCTGGGATTACAGGCACGTGCCATCACGCCTGGCTAATTTTTGTATTTTTAGTAGAGACAGGGTTTCACCATGTTGCAGGATGGTTTCGAACTCCTCACCTCAAGTGATCCACCCGCCTTGACCTCCCAAAGTACTGGGATTACAGGTGTGAGCCACCATGCCCGGTCCTGCATTTTTAAAAGGAACTGTTCTACCTAAATTTCTGCTCCTGCGCCCGCGCCCACTCCCACACAGCCTGCTGATCCTAACAATGCTGCTCACATAGGGACCCCAGAACGGGGATGACGGATAAAAAGGAACTAAAATGCAGTGAACTCACTAGGATTGTGGTAAAAACTATGAGAGCTTCCTTTTCTGAAGCACAATAGCCAGAAAGGCCTCCATGCTATCCAACTTTAGCACAGACAAAGGGAACAGAGAGTTCAGGGAAAGGGACGTTTGCTTGCCTGAAAGTGGAATCAAAGGTTCCAGCCCAGGGCCAGGATCCTACTTCTGGGGCTGAGCTTGTGGCCATCTTACCTAAGGCAACATGAAGTCTGCCGGTGGGGTTAGGGATGGGTAGGACTGTACAGAGAGGGATTTTATTTTGTCGGGATGGGAGACGAATTTTATTTTGTGGCTCCATTCTTGGATAAGGGCATAAGGGGAAAAATTATTGATGAACTACTTTGTCATCGTTAAGAGTATTGCTGACACACTCCCAGCAGGCTCACTGCGAGGCAGCCAGCGCCGAGCCTACCCAATGCCTTTTGTAGCCCAGACATGTGCTGCGCATTAGGGAAGGTGTGTAAATTATGACAGCGCCAGTTCTTTGGCGAGGGCCCGGGGCTGAGCACTTCTCTGCCTCCTTTTCCCTTTGTGTTCTATTTCCCCACGGCCCTTGCCTCAAAGCAAGTGGAGTTCCTCAGAGAGAACATTAACAGGCAGAGGCTCGGGCTTGGAGTAAATATTGCAGGATGGAAATGCGGAGGGAATTAGACTTCTTTTCCTTGCAGGCTTTGGAGTGCTGGGTGAGAAATAAATAATGAGGGTAGTAATGGCCCAATTCTTCCCCGCTGCATCCCTCCCCCTGGGTGTGGAGCATCTTCTAAAGTCAGAATGTGGCTGCTTGTGGCTGCAGATTTGATCTTGAAGCCAACGGGATAGGCAGGCAGGCAGGCAAGCGGCCCCGGACAGCTCCCAGGCAGCTCTCATCTGGGGAAATTCTCATCCCTGTTTTCAGCCTCATTTTGCCGACAAGGAGCCCAAGGAACACAGGAAGTTCCTGACTGGACATGGGGAAAGCAGAATGGGTCACTTGTCCTCAGAGAGGCTATCCAGAGTTGCTCCTTCGCTCCCACTCTGGGAGTCTCTGGGAGCTTTGGGTAGCATTGGACTGGGAGGGTTCCATGGATACCTAAGTATGTATCAGGCACTGGGCCTCTGAGAAAACTTGCAAAAAACTGGCCAGAACTTCTAGACCCTTTTAGAAAGGAGTTGAATGTCCCCTGAGGGCTGCAGCTTCTTCCCCATCCCTCTTCCGTCACGGCTACTAGATTATTTTCTGTGATGCAGTTTCCGAACGTTTCTTACAGCTTCAACTTTTCTTGTTACTCCCAACCGTCTCCCCAAAAGAAGGGGATGAACGTTGTTTACAATGACTTTTATGTGGTAGGGCAGCAGGGAAGTAGTCTCCTGCACTGGAACTTCTGGAATCAGATCTGGCTTCAGGACAATGGAGCTTGAACTGTGGTTCCTATGGGAGCACTGGTGGGGTGGGGATCCTCTCCCCGGCCTGAGGCAAGCTCAGGTTGAAACCTGATGCCATCTAAGAGGCGACCCCTATCTGGAAGGTGTGACTGAGGAGCTGTGAGGTCATTATGCTTAGAACATTGGGCCATGATCCCTCCGGGAAGAGGCGATGGCCAGGTTTGTTGAGAACCAAGAGGGCAATCGTTACTGACCCACTCCACTAATTCATACATCCTTTGAGCTGAACCATTATATCCTTCTCCTGAAAAATCTCTCTGGCGAAGCACCAAGAGAACAATTAAGGATTAACCAAAGTGCTCTCTCCTGCCAGCAAGAGTCTGTGCTCTCAGGGGACCAGGGCTAGTTTGTAGCAAAGCTCTTTGTCTCTGGAACTCTCTCATCTTTGTTTTCTGTCTCATTAGGAAAGGCATTTTCCTTCCACTTTGTGGAGGACTTCCACTTCTTGGTGTCACTTGATTGTTAAATTTGTATTTTCCCCGTGTCCAAAGATCTTAGGACAATAGTGACATGTTAAAAAAAGAAAATAGGATTAAAACTTCTCAAAGTAAAATCTATATGTGGAATTGGTTGTTACCATTCATTCCAATATTATAAATCATTTAAACAGTGCTTTTCCTGGACCATAATTTCAAGCCCAGTGAATGATCTGTCTCTAAACTGGCTACATTTGGTAAAATTGCTGCAAGAAAAATGAACAGAGTAGAATATACCCTGATTTACATCAATGTCCAACTTCCAAATTGTACTCAAAATGTAATTTACTTTGACTATTAAGATAGGGCTAAAATGAGCCAGGCACAGTGGCTCATGCCTGTAATCCCAACACTTTGGGAGGCTAAGGCGTGTGGATTACATGAGGTCAGGAGTCCAAGACCAGCCTGGTCAATATACTGAAAACCCGTCTCTACCAAAAATACAAAAATTAGCTGGGCGTGGTGGTGGGTGCCTGTAGTCCCACTTTTTGAGAGGCTGAGGCACATGAATTGCTTGAACCAGGGAGGCAGAGGTTGCAGTAAGCCAAGATTGCCCCACTATACTCCAGCCTGGGGACACAGAAAGACTCTGTCAAAAAAAGCGGGGGCGGGGGGGAGGGTGGCCCAAAATCAAAGTGGTCACTTCTATAATGCTGTCTTTAAAAACAACTCTACAATGAAATTTTATCACATCATTTAAAAAAATATAACAGTTCCCTAAAAGGCACCTAAACCTTTCGACTTCCAAACGGTAACTTTGTAAGCAGGTCTGAGAGATGGGTGCCACAGGTCAAACTGAGCCCCACCTCATCTCCTAAAATAGAGTCTATTCCTAAAGGATATAACAGAATTATCTTTAATGTATTCATTTATCTAGAACAACGGGGTTCATACCGAAAAGTCCCATGAGGTGGCTAGTCTTCTTTTGAGGTAGACAGGAAATAGGAAGAAAATTGAGGCACAAAGGGAAGAACCACTTGCCTAGAAACACAAGTTCAATGGCAAAAAAACAAATTAAAGTACAGGATTTTCTTTTCTTTGTCTATTGTGCTTCCTACCAGGTCATGGAAAAGCCTATAGAACGCTGCTAAGAAGTTACTTAGATATTAAAACACTGCTAAGAAGTTACTTAGATATTATGTGTGTGTGTGTGTGTGTCTGTGTGTGTATGTGTAGAGACAGAGAGAGGGAGAGGTATTTTCTATCTTGATGTCCACAGGTGGAGGGGTTGAGACTCACATCTGTAATCCCAGCATTTTAAGAGCTGAGGCAGGAGGCTCACTTGAGCCCTAGAGGTCAAGACCAGGCTGGGCAACACAGTGAGACTCCATCTCTACAAAAAAAATTTTTTTTAATAAACTAAGGTGGTGGCTGCAGTGAGCCAAGATCATACCACTGCACAACCTGGGCAACAGAGCAAGACTGTCTCAAACAACAACAACAACAAAGAGTTTAAAATGATGGACTCACACTTTGAAGCACTGACTTCAAAGCACAAACCATTCCCAAACTAGCCACAGTTTAATTTGCGGTTTTCAAATGGTCAGGGCCTCCATGTAACATGTCTCCTCTGGCACTCTGCTCCTTTCCGAGCACAAGAAAAAAATGCCCTTTCTGCAGAACAAACACTCATTTTCACAAAGAGCCAAACACCCTCAGACAGAGACAAATGCAGAGTGGGAATAAACACTTAAAACATACTCTAGGGCAGCTCCTCAAAAAGCTGATCCAGGTGATCTTTCTTTGAAACACTGCTTCTAATGACATGAGGGATGGAACATGAAAACAGAAAGTAACACACAGATCCACGGCCATCATCACACCACCCTCACCATTGACTTTTTTATTTTCTCTGCTTCCTGCCTGCATGTATGTAGGCACATTTACAGTAGTATCTACAATAGAGATCAACGTATATTCTATTTTTTCCCCAAATATTTACTTTTCCACATTGCTAGCTACTCTAGAATTCTTTTCAGTGACTGTGTAATAGTGCATCAAACCTCTGTGCCATCGTTTGCTTAGACATTCTTCTCTTATGAAATAGGTTGCTCAGGTCTTTGCTATTCTGGATAATAAGCAACACAATGAACATCTTCATGGATGTGGGGCTGTAGTTTTCTGCTGCATTATTCCTTATGAGCCTATATTTAAATAAATAGCCTTCTATATTCTTGCTGATGAGAAACTATGTTGTCCAGCTAATCACATTTCCATGACACTGTCTCCTTGCCAGTGCCCAGCAGGGATTTTTTTAAAGCAAAAATCAGAAGCCCACTAGCAAGGCTGATGCTGGCTACAGTGGAACAGGATACACTGCCAAGTCCTCAATCCCTTCTTTTAAAGAATCTAGAAATACAACTTTAACTTCTGTGTTGTGTCTCTTCAGAACCACAGTAACTTATTTTCCCTTTAAAGGTCGTGGGACTGAGTTGTATTAATACAACAGGGCCCATCTGGCTTATACTTTTCAGTCAATAATCCAAAGTAGCTACTGTCAAAAACACTCCTCTGGCCATATTTACGTTTTCACCTTTCTGTCAGATGACAGCATAGTCTTCCTCACTAGAAGGGATAAATAAGTTTCTGTTACTGAAGGAGCAGGCCCTTCTAGACAGCCACAGAAGCAAAGAAATTGATGGAGGTAATATATACAATCCTTAAGAAATATTCTCGCTGAGATGAAGTATGATTTAAAGAGAACTGTTGCTTCTCCTGGCTCTTTGGAGCCACGTTGCTTCAGTGCAGTTTTCTTCTGTGATCTGATCATTTCCATCCCTGATGTTTTAAATTATTGGGTCAACAGGGAGAGAGCCTGTCCTCTTAGTGAGTGGACAGGATGCCAGGTTGTGAGTCCTGCCTTCGGCACTGACTCACTCCACAGCCTTGAGGGGGCCCCTGAACACCCCCTGTGGCCTCTGACATTCTTCATTCACGAAACGTGAATCACTTTGGTATCGGGTCCCATTGGGAAACTAGAGACGCAATTTGCTTCATCATGTTTTCCTGCCAATATTGTCATTTACTGCTTGTTCTCCTCTATTTCACTTGAGTTGGGATTTTTGTTTTTAAATCATCGAATCCAGGGTCTATTTGTAAAACAAACAAACAGCTAGATAAAGAAATGGATGGAAATTAAAACAGTCTCATTTAGAAAGCAAAAGCATGAGTCAAGGCTGCTGGGGAAGGGTTTCACTGAGAATATGGAAAAGTCTAAAAGACAATAATGCTCATCATCCCTGCACGAAGCTCCTAGGCTCACACCAAGCCTTCAAACCACATAGCGGGAGCCAGGTTGCAATACTGGGGTCATCCTGGGTTCCCAAATCAGACACAGATTTTGACCCCTAAAGAACCATCACTTTCCCATACACTTGCAACTTTTGCATATTACGCGCGTGCTCGCGCACGCACACACACACACACACACACTCTCTCTCTCTCTCTCTCACTCTCTCTCTCTCCAGAGAAAGCAGCTCCCAATTACAGATATAAACTAGCCTTATCTAACTTGAAAAGTACAGCAGGTTTCTCTAAAAAAAAAAAAAAAAAAAAAAAATTACCAGATATCTCAGCATTTTTCCCGGAAAAATAAGACATCACTGCATAGTTTCCAAGTGAAATAGTCTTAAATGTCCTACATTCGGGCTGTTCACAGAGGCTAATATTTGAATCCACTTGGGAGACTCTGTCCCCAATTCCAATGCAATCATCATGACCGGCAGGGCCTGGGAGATCTTCCAGGTCAATATTAGTTTTCACCAATTGCATACAAGTTGGACTTCAGTGATATACGGGTATGGTTCTATTTTTCCCAAGCAGTATTTACAGCACACAACCTCTCCCCAGCCATAAGTACAAGGCCAGTCCTTAGGAAGTTCATGGAAAAATCACAATATGCATTATGTCTGCATTTCTCTATTTCCTCCCCATTTTACTGCAGTTCCCTTCACATTGGTTCTATTCTGCATTTGACCAACCATACTGCAAAACACGTCCTGCCTTGGTCACTGTGAGAAGCCTCAGCTGAGAAGGACTTGGTAAGGTCATGTTCTACACCCATTAAATTAATGTTTAAGCAGCTGTTTAAGAGCAAAAAGTCAGCCTGGTGGTGCCACAGAGACACACAGTGGTTGGTACCCAAGGACTCCAAGACAGGTATTCAGCCCATCAACCTACTACGTTAACCATCAAAGTACTCACGGAGAGCACTGTAATTAATAGGGAAAAATGCTCTATTGCAAAGTGCTAAGTGCAATTAGAAGAATTAAGGCTTCCCATCTGATTTTTTTCCTTTTGCCTGAAATTTTACTGCCAATATTAAATTAGCAGCATTTTATCATCGTTGCTTTTTATATCCCAGGCATTTGTTCCCTTAGCAACTAAACAAAGAGGAGGAAAAAAGTTACTCTGCGTAGAAATACATAGTTAACTGTCCATGCCTAGAATAACCAAACTACTCTTACCCCTATTTATCAACCTCTCAGAAGAAAAACAAAAGTAAAGCAGAAATAAAAACAATAACAACACATGCTATGTGTGTATAAAATTGTAGGAAAAGTCATTAACCCAAAAAGTTTGTGATGTTTTATACAGCATGCTCACAAACTGAAAACAAAATTTTGATTGCTTATATATTCTGAAGTGTTTCCTGCCTACATATCCTCAGAAGTCCCAGGAGCTTTCGTGGACACATGGAAAATTTCAAGTTGAGCCATTTTTAAGTTATCCATGAGTAAAACCGAAAGAAAGAAAAAGAAACATGGAGTGGGTGTTTGAGTCTGTCATAAAAAAGGAAAAAAGTTATTTTGCTTTCTTTCCTTTTCCTTCAATTACTTCACAATGGCTGAACATACTTCGCCTAAGTCTTCTTTTTCTTTTTTTTTTCCAGAAAGAAGAGAATTACCTTTGTGCTAAAGCCAAATATAAGCATATTCAGCATGTTCTACACAAGTGAGCACCAGGGAATTCTTAAGGCAGATCTATGCGTAACTGTAAAACTAGCATTACCAGACACAAATCAGATCACACATCATAATGACAAATAACTGCAAGAATAAGAAAGCAGGCATGTACTTAGTACTCATCAGCCAAAATGAATTATATTCTTAAAATTATTTTGAATAATTATGCAAAAAGTTGATAGCCTTTACTGAAATGCAGACACTGCAAAATACAGGAGCTTGGGTATTGACTCTATTTTGCTTTCTCCAGCCATGATTCTCTAAGAAATACTGCCCGCAAATTAAAAGTATCCGAGATTCTTGGCAAACGGCATCCGTGTGGTATCTAGTACATTATAGCGATCGCGTGCCAATAACAGCTGGGCAGAGAAATCCTACAATGTTTAAAGTAGAAGGGCTGAACAAGTTAGAGTGTAGAAGACAAAACTGTTTTGCAGGGAAACACCCCAGTTAGAAATTCAGTGACTGGCTTCATTTCATGAATCTCCCATAAATATCTGAGGAGACTGCCGACATCCCAAGCCAAGAGGAAAAACACGCATTTAAAGACCAAGGAGAGAAGCCAGGACATGGAATAATCATTTCACTGGACGCCCTCCACTGCAGATACCGTTGGCTCGGACTCCTATTAAGAAGGAACGGAGAAAATGGATGAGAGAGACTGCCTGGCCAGAAAGGGAAGAAACTTTGCTTTCATAAATAATCTTGTCACGGAGATAGGCCACACATCAGAACGGAAAGTCGGGGGGACCAGAAAGAAGAGGAGCCTGAGGTCAGGGAGTCCTCCTGTCTCCTATCTGGGCTGGGACAGAAACGAAGGAGAAACCCAATATTAGCATTGTCTGGCCATGGCATTTTTTCCCCCTTCTCATAATATAACTTTGTGAATATGTTTAAGAGAGTGTCTGCTGTTATTGGTCTAATGAGCTAACTCTGAAATCTGAGCTAAAGACAGCTCCCTAGTGGCTGCTCACTGCTCCACAGACCGAAAGGAAACTCCTTTCAGGGGCCCATCAGGGCGAACCATTGCTGACAGCTTGGAACGGCACAACACACAGATTTATTTCACAGACAGCCACAGACAGGAATTTAGCACCCTGTGCTGGCCTCCTGCTTAGTGGAGAAGGTGTTAAAATGCAACCATGCAGAGCTCTCCGTTGAACAAAACCCAGTAGCGGCTAATCAAGCGGTCACCCGTTCCCAGCAGAAAATACCCAGCGACGCGCAGCTG